CAATGTTTTTCCCATATATTTTTGATCATGGTTGGTTGACTGCACAAATACAGAACCTATATATATAGAGGTCAGTATCAGTGTTATCAAAGGCACCTAAAATAATTGTGAAGCAGTGAGAATCTCCCTTTTTTTCAGCCTGCCCATGACCAACAAGTTTGTTTTTTGTTTGTTTTTGATAGGATTTCACTATGTAGCTCAGACTGACCTGGAGCTTAACTATGTAACCCAGGCCAGCCTTGAACTTCTATTCCTCCCTTTCCTACCTCCTGAGTGCTAGGATTACAGGCCCTTGCTACCATACCTGACATTGGGTAGTTTTTTGTTTGTTTTGTTTTTGGAGGACTAGTTTATTGAATACACTGCAAAAGGGCAGTGTTCTGGGCAGTAACTAGAGTACCATCTCAGCCATGTCCAATTAGTCTTTTTTTTTTAAAGATGTATTTAATTAGGGGCTGGAGATGGCTCTGCGGTTAAGAGCACTGGCTGGTTTTGCAGAAGACCTGTGTTCAAATCCCAGTACCCACATGGCAGCTAACCAACCATCTGTAACTCCAGTTTCAGATGATCTGATGCCCTTTTCTGAACTGTGTGGGCACTGCACAACACAGGTGCATTTACATACATGTAGGCATAACACATACACATAAAATTTTTTAAAATTTAAATAAAGATGTACTTAATTAGTTTATTTTCTGTGTATGTATGTATGCCTGAGTGTATATGCACCATGTGTGTGCAGCAAGTTGTAAGCTGCCATATGGGTGCTGGGAACTGAACCTGGGCCCTCTGAAAGAGCAACAAGTGCTCTTAATCTCTAAGCCATCTCTCCACTCCACATACCTAACTAGTTTTAATGTCCCCTCTCACCCTTTACTTTTCTGAATCTTCTTACCTTCTATTTCTTACCTGCTACAAAACTCCCAACTTTCCTAGTGTCTTTCCTGATTGGATTGCTTCTGTCTCTACTATGGACCTAATGGCCTCTGTGACATCAGACTTGCCTGAGAGCTGGGGTCAGTGACAATAAAAAAGTAAGTTAAGGGTCTGGGCAAGGTCTGAGACAGGATGAGAAATTGTAAGGCTAGCTTATTTATTGATTTTTAAAAATTTATTTTTATTTTATGTGTATGTGTGTATTGCCTGCATGTAAGTACACCCGTGTCAAGCAATGCCCGCGAAGGTCAGAGGCTGTCGGATCCTCTGGGACTGGAGTTACGGACAGTTGTTAGCTGCCATGTGGGTGCTGGGATTCGAACCCAGGTCTTCTGCAAGAATAACCAATGTTCTTAACCGCTGAGCCATCTCTCCAGCCCTTATTGATTTTTTTATGTGTATGAGTGTTTAGCCTGCCATGTATGCAAGTGCACCACATGTATGCAGTGCCCACAGAGACCAGAAGAGGAATTTGGATCTCTAGGAAATGTTAAGGACAGATGTTAGCTGCCATGTGGGTACTGGGAACGAAACTGGAGTCTACTGCAAGAGCAGCCAGTGCTCTTAACTGCTGAGCCATCTCTCCAGCCCCCTAAGGCTAGCTTTTGACAAGTGCTTTCTGGTTTAAAAAAATTATAGCTTATGAAGTCAGAATGATTTTTAGACTCTAGCTGAAGAGAAAGGGACAGAGGGAGGGAAAAGAGGGAAGGAGAATACTTGTGTGTATGTGCATGTATGGTGCCATTAAGTTTTAGGTGCAGTTAGTACTTCAGTTGTGATGCTTATGAGGCATTTCTTACTCCTCCACCCATGGTTGAATATTACATGTTGTTCAGGTTTGAATCTTTGGTGACTTGGGGAGAAACCCTTTAAGAGGCAGAGGACCTTTACTGTCCACATGATCGACTTCCCCAGCCCTGTTTGCTCTGAACTCTGGAAGCCCCTTTCTGATCAGTTTTACAGATCTGTATTGAGTGCTCACTGGGCCAGGCACTGCATTGGGCACTGGAGTACATGCAGGCAGTCCCTCAGGAGGAGCCATGGAAGGAATGCATATTTCATTTTATTGATGGGCACCTTTGACAGGCTTAGCATGGGACCCAGCACAGTGAGGGATATGGAAAGGAGCCAGTACAGACATCAGGCCAAGCAGGTAGAAGATCATGACAGGCTTTACCTCTGGGAGCAAGGGCTGTGGAGCTTAGAGAGCTGAGCACAAACCCCACCCCACTGCCTTCGAAGCATTCCGTCTAGACAGTGTTGGGGAAGGTGCTGAGTGTTGGCAGCAGCCCTGTGTGTAGCTCCAGCATTTCTACACATTGCCAGATCTGGGCTTTTGTTTTTCTCCTGCCATAAAAATGGAATAGCCATTTTTATCTTGTGGACTCACGGGATGTGAAGCATCATTTGGATATGGTGGACAGTGGATTTCTCTCTTCTTATGTTCTACATGTCTGTTGCACATCTTGGGACCTGTCAGTTTCATCCCTTTTTAGCATCTACCTTCAAATGTGACTAGTCTTTGGCTTTTGCCACATTTTTCCTAATGACCATAGGAACTGGGAAGGGGAGCAAGCATAGCCGCAAGCTTTGGGAGGAGTTAGTTCAAGGGGTGCAGAACTGTGTCTGTAGCCAGCCTGACTCCCTGACATCCTGGGCAATCCCCTGGTTTGCATGTGTCCCCCAGCTGAGCAAGCTGTCTGCTTATCTGTTGCTCACTGGTTTCTTCCTTATTAAACTCTTAGGTGCCAGAAAAACGCTCTACTTTCCTCCCTCTCTGTCTCTCTGTTTCACTGTGGCTAGGCAGAGGGGAAAGGGCAGCTTTTGGAAAGAACCATTTATGGGTGTCTTGTTCAGGCAATTAAGGTGAAGGGTGCTTAAGTGGCAGATGGTCAGGGCCAGGGGTGGGTGGGTGGAGCAAAAGAGGGCAGGAGTTTCTGGGCAGGATTTGTACTCCTCCCCTTCACCTCCACTCCCACCCTGCCTGCTGGGAGGTCAGGGCTGAAGGAATGGCAGGGATTAACTTCTAGGTTCCTCCCCCATCTCTCTTCATTGACTTACCTTGAGGCTAATTTAGGCCTGTGGCCAAGAGGCCTGCCACAGGCCTCCTTAAGAGATGTTTGTGTCTGCACTGGTCCCCATTCCTCAAAAGTCCTCAAAATTGCCTGCTCCAATGATTTCCAAGTAGCTATTATGTTTCCAACCCAAGGTAATTGGCTTTACCAGTTATTAATGGATTACCATAAAGAGAAAAATGTTGGGAGGAGAAAGGTGAGGGCAATACCTCCTGACTTTGTAGTTGGTTCCTCAGTGTCCAGTGGCTGCTGCCCAGGCTGAGTCACTTGGTGTTCTGGTCCTGCCATTTTTTTAGTGGCTAACTCTTGACAGTCCTGTGGATCCGGAGTAAGTTGGGATGCTGAGGCATGTTTCTAAAGGAAGTCTTGGCTTGAGGCATGAGAGCCCCAGGGTGTCACATACAGCCTTGTTATAAGTTTGGAGGTGACACATGGACACAAGTCCTGCAGTTTTGATGGTAAACAGTCATTTGGCCAGTACCTGCCCGGACATCTCCCTCATCAGCAACTGGTAGCTAGCTCCTTATCCATTCCCCCACTAGCCACTGGCATCTTCAGAACCATTCCTGTGAAACTCCACCTCCCACTGACATACTGGGTGTGGAAAGCATGTGTGCTGGGCAGGATGGGCTGATGGACTGCTGCCTTCATGGCTAACATGTCATTAGTGTGTCTAGTCTCCCTTCCCCATTGCAGTGCATCTGGGGACCTGGCCCATCCCTGCCCCAGTGCTCTTGGATGACACTCTGCTTTCAACTTTTCTGATTCCCATTATGTTTTCATGTTTTCTCTTTTTTTGTTGCTGGTGTTTTTGAGATAGGGTCTCCCTGTAGCCCCAGCTGGCCTGGAACTAGCTATGTAGACCAAGCTAGCCTTGAATTCACAGAGATCCACCTGCCTCTGCCTCCTGAGTGCTAGGACTAAGGGCATGCACCACCATAACTGCCGCCATTATGCTTTCTAAAGGCTTCACCTCCCACCCCTGCCAGATTCAAGTTCTAGTCTTAGGCTCAATACTCCATCCTTCCCATAGTGCTTATAACTCCACATGAAAGAAGCCATGCAGATTCCTATGCTTAGTGTCCTGGGAGACTCTGGAAAATACAATCAGTGTGTTCCTTACCTACCTCTTGGCAGTGTTTTGCAGTGCCCTTGCAGAGGTTTCCTGGTTCCCATCCTGTTCCCCAGCAGCCCTGGCTATTTGCCCCTACCCCTTGCACACTCATGTAGGGATTTACTCACCTTTCCTATTTGTCCTGTTCTGTTTGTACATTTATACCTGCCCTTTATTTTAAAAAAAGTATTATTTTTATCTTATGTGTATAAGTGTATTGCCTGTATGTTGCTAAGTGTACCCATAGCACGCAATGCCTACAGATGTCAGAAGAGGGTGTTGGATCCCCTGGAACTGGAGTTATGGACAGTTGTTAGCCACCATGTGGATGCTGGGAATAGAACCTGAGTCCTCTGCAAGAGCAGTTAGTGCTCTTAACCACTGAACCATCTCTCCAGCCCCAGCCTGCCCTGTATTTTGTACTACTTTTCCAGATTCCCCTAACTCTTAAACTCTTCTGGAATGGCCTCAGCTGACTGGGGCATCACTTGCCAGCCCCAGTGGCATATACTCCCTTATGGCATTGTGCTCTCAGGGCTCATACAACTGCAGCCCAGGAGGCTCACCCCTGTGGGCTCAGAACCACCTATCCAGAGGTTTATTTTTTATAGTGGGTAGAGATCACATGTCCCCATCCAAACAGCAAGCTCATCTGTGGTTGTATCTGTGGGGCCTTTTTGGTCAGACAGCCTTAGAAGACGCACCCCCTCTTCATGTACCAAGTTGTCTTTTCACAACTTCTCAACTGCTTCCTTATTTTCTCTAGCTGTTCTCTTTTTCCGACTTAACCCCATGATCCCTGGGGAAAGAGCCCTGCATTTCTGCCTCAAGTTCTGACAAGCCAGCCCTAACTCTACTCTCCTTTTGTTTGGCAGCTCTTTTGTGACAGGGACGGCTTGTTGTGGGCACTTCTCACCCCTGAGAATCTGGGATCTCAACAGGTAAGAGATTCCTACACCCACCATGCCCTTCAGTGGAGGTAAGGCTAGGGCAGCCAGGAGACAAAAGAAGAGCTAACTAACCAGACCCTGCCTTGGTTGGCCCAGTGGTGCAGGAGGAGGCTGGGGAGAAACCCTGTCCTGCAAGCCACTGACAGCTGCTGTGCCTTTCATGGGGAGTTGCGGTTAGCTTGAGAAGACTGTTTAAATAACTTATAGCAGGTGAATAATTTCATGTACAATTGATGATGATAACTATTTGGATATAATATACCTGTTCTGAGGAATGCCTGGCCATATTATCTATACTCAGAGGCGATTTTTATACAATAAGAAATTTCAAAGGTGGCCTACAGAGTCTATAAAAATAATTTTGTAGAACAATTAAAATGCAATCAGGTTTTGTTCACAGTTCTCCAGGTGGCAAGCTTAACACATTCCTATCTGATTATCCACCATTCTGTTTTTCTTTTTAACTTAATATTTTGAAATAATTATGTATTCATAGGAATCTGTAATTCATAGATACAAAATAAAATGGAGGAATACATTTATAACATTTTACAAAATGTAGTATAATGTTAAAACCAGGAAATTCCATAGGCCTTTGTTCAGATACACTTGTATGTGTGATTCTGTGTGATTTTATCACATGTAGACTCATGCACCTACTACCACAGTCAAGATATAGAACTACTCATGCCATTAGTAGAGTCTTCATATACCCCTTCAGTCATACCTGCTCTCATCTATGATTACTCATAACCATTTACGTGTTCTCTGTCTCCAATTTTGTTTTGAAGATGCACTATAAATAGAATTGTAGTATGTCACTTTTTAAGATTAGGGTTTTTTGTTTGTTTGTTTTTTTTTTTTTTGCCAGTTCAGCATATTGCTTTGAGACCTATAAACATGTTGCACATATCAGTAGTTCATTCCTTTTTATTACTGAGTAGTATTCCTTGGTATAGATGTACCACCATTTTTTCCCCATTGAAAGAGCATTCACCCATTAAAGGAAAAATAGGTTGTTCTCAACTTTTTTTTAGCATTAAAAAAGTTTTTTTTTTTTATGTGTATGAGTGTTTTGCCTGCATGTTTGGAAGTGCACCTGTGGCATGCAAAGCCTGTGGAAGCCAGAAGAGGGTGTTGGATCCCCTGGAACTGGAGTGGGTTCTGGGAATTGAACCCGGGTCTTCTGGAAGAGCAGCCAGTGCTCTTAACTACTGAGCCATCTTTCCAACCCCTGTTCTCAATTTTTTGCTACTGTAAATAAAGCCATTATGAACATAGGTGTTTTTTTTTAATATTTTAGTATTTTTTTATGTGTATGTGTGTATTGCCTGCATGTAGGTAAGTGCACCTGTGTCGTGCAGTGTCCACGGAGGACAGAAGAGGCTGTCAGATCCCCTGGAACTGGAGTTATAGACAGTTGTTAGCTGCCATGTGGGTGCTGGGATTCGAACCCAGGTCTTTGGTAGGAACAGCCAGTGTTCTTAACCACTGAGCCATCTCTCCAGCCCTGAACAACATAGGGTTTTCTTTTGCTTTTTTGTTTTCATTTTTATTTATTTATTTATTTTTATTTTATGTATTGCCTGCATGTAGGTAAGTGCACCTGTGTTGTGCAATGCCGTCAGAGGTCAGAGAGGCTGTCAGATCCTCTGGAACTGGAGTTACAGACAGTTGTTAGCTGCATATGGGTGCTGGGATTCAAACCTGGGTCTTCTGCAAGAACAACCAGTGTTCTTAACCACTGAGCCATCTCTCTAGCCCCAACAACATAGGTTTTTATGTGGGCATGCATTTTCATTTCTCTGGGGTAAATGCCCAGGACAGTTGCTTATGTTGTTTAATAGTGTGTTTAGCTTTTTTTACTTGCCAAATTATTTTTTCAGCACATCTTTACTTTTTTTTACATTCCCACCAGCAAAGTATGAGACATCTAGTTTTTACATCTTGCCCAGGTTTTGGTATTGTTATTATTTTATTTTGCTTGTTCTAATAGATGTAATGTAGTTTTAACTTCATTTTCCCTAATAATTGCAAATGATGTTGAACATATTTTCACATGCTTATTTGGCATCTATATATCCTGCTTAGCAAAATGTCTGCTCATGTCTGTGACCCATAAGATTGTACTGTTCTGTTTTTTTTTCTACTGATGTTTTGAGCTTTGTATATTCTAGATATTAGTCCTTTGTCAAATATATGATTTGCAGATATTTTCTTCAAATCTGGAGATTGTCTTTTTGTCCTTTTAACTTAATAGTGCCTTCTGCAGAAAAGGTTTAAATTTTGATCCTGTCTAAATTACTGACTTTTCCTCTTAACCAGTCATGCCTTTGGTGTGAGGTCTGAGAACTCTTCAGCTAGTCCTGAGCTTTAAACACCACAATTCACAGCAACAGTGAGGCGCATTTCTTGCCTGCCTCCTCCCTCAGTTGCTCTAGTTCTTTTTCTCCTTTTCCCTAAGGAAGAGAAAAACAACTATGTCTTTTTTCTGAAAAGTCTATTCTAGAGCCAGTCTTTTGAGAAGATTTCTTTGTAACACAAGGTGCTTCAATTGAACATACTTTTTTCCTACAATCTTTATGATGGTTCTAATCTAAGATCACTCAGTATCTCCCCAAACTACTGCTGCATCTCTGAGTGGCTTTGAGGGTTGGAATGAATACCTACTTTTTGTAGAGGTCAATTTGCTTCCTGGAGCTGTAGGCCTGGGCAAGAAGTAAGCTGAACCTCTTTTCTGTAGGCCAGGCCTCCAGGTATCTGGAAACTTTGGGTATTCTCTTTTAGGGTCTTCTTTTTTCTAGGCCCAAAGTTCTAGTTCTTTATTTGTTCTTCATAAACACAGTACATCAGGTAACCATAGCTTTTGACTATAAGTAATGAGGACTTAATTCAAAATGGCTCAAATAAGAATGGAATTCTGATCTTAGGTGATAAGGAGCCCAGATGGGTGGCAAGGTTGAAGGGCTCAGTAGCTCCAGACAACGAAGGCCTCCTCAGCTTTCAACTTTGCTATCCTAGTCATGATGGCTTTTTCCCTGCATTCAGGCTTGTTTAGAAAAGTGCCACCAACTCATAAGGCAACCTTAAAGGGAAGAAAGAAGGAAGACCTGTCTCAACCTGGGGCCCAAATTTAAAATGAAAAGCCTTTTCCAGGAACCCTGAGCAGATTTCTCCTCACATCTAATAGCCAGAACTATGTCTGAGGGCTCACCCTCAGCCAAACTATGGCAAGGAGCAAGGATGACCCATCAACCTTTACTTCCCTGGCCTGAGAGAAGAACCAGCTTCCCCAAGACACATTGATTGTGGCACAGAGAAGGGCAGGTACTGCAGAATCAGTATTGAAGTAATAAGAAAGAACACAAGTACCCAACAACATTGGCCTCACACTGGCTTCAGGACTATTCCTATCTTAAAGTTTCCAATTTATCTGATTTTACCCCTAGCACTGAACAGTCTAGGTGTGGTTTAATGTGGGATGGGTGCTGTCACCTCCCTCTCTTTAGATCCTACTTTTGTTAATGCAGTCAGTAGTCACATCACCCATTACCAGCCTAGTTAAAACTTCCAGGGCTCCTGTGGTCTCATGCTTTGGAGTTGTTGGCATCTTACAGGCTATGAAATTTTGTTCTTAGGAGTTTATTCTGTGGAACTGCCACCAGCCCTTCTCCACTGTGAATGAGGCTGAGGCAGGCAGGAGTCTTCCCTAGTGGGGAAGCAGCACACCAGGGACATGTTTGAAAAGCAATAGGAACTCCTGAGGGAGCACTGGTTGCATGGCCTTAAGAGCTGGCTCCTGGAATTACTTTCTCACTTACTAGCCCTTTCACCTGGGGCTTTTCTGGGCTTTGGTTTCTACAGTGGGGACTGAAAAATGGGAATTCATTATTCCTGCCTACCAGCAGTAGTATGAATAAATTACTATGAAAAATGCCCCCCCCCACACACCTTGGAGGACATTGAGCTAATGTAGGTTGTGCCCTTTGCCTTCTACCAAAGGTATTTCCCATGGTAGTACCAAAGAGCTTGTGGAGGCCTCACCTCTCAATCTGCAGTGAGAGAGAGGAAGCTGCTGACCTCATGGCACAGAAAAGACTCTTTCCAGCGGGGCTGTGGTCCATAGATGAGCATTTCTGCTGGCAGTTTCAGTAATCATACAGCTGAGGCTCATGCTTAACACCATACGCTAGCTGGACCCACCATGGCCCAGCATCATCTGAAAGGTGGTTGATGTTTGAACTGCCTGTGGTTACTTTGGAGGGGACTTTAGGATTTCTAAAGCACTGATTTTTGGGGCTGAAGAAATGGCTCAGCAGTTAAAAGCACTGACTGCTCTTGCAGAGGACCTGGGTTCGATTCCCAGCACCTACATGGCGGCTATGAAACATCGTTAACTCCAGTTCCAGGTGAATCTGATGCCCTCTTCTGACCTCCAAGGCATTGCATGATATGGGTGCCCTCATGTACATGCAGGCAATACACTCATTCACATAAAATAAATAAAATAAGGGGGGGAAAAAAAGCACTGACTCCTTGAATATCATTCTCATGAAATCCCTAGACCTCATCAGCTCCAAACTCTGGAACTTAACTCAAAATGAACCTAAATAAGAATAGGCACAGGAGCCAGATGAGGTATAGCCATTGTATTCTCTGGCCAGTCCTTGGGCTCTGCATGTGATGGGGACCACCCTGGGCATCATATGGCATTGCTTCTTCTTTAGCCCCAGACTCCCCTAATCAGTCCCGGGAGGAGCCAGGCCGTGTGCAAAGATCTCTTCTATCTCCAGGCTTGTGCACTGCTTGGAGGACTGAGCAGGGAAGGGTGTGAGGAGATGCCCTAGTGGGAGGAAATGGATGGCTAGGACAACTCGGGAGCTGTCTTTCCCAGAGAAGCCAGATAATAAAGCCATGTAGAAAACAGGATTAAGGTAATGAACAGGCAGGACCAAGTTTGATCTTTCAATAACACCAAAGCCTGACTGACA